CGATCTCGTAGCTCACGTCACTAAGTGTCGTAACACTTTGTAGGGGCCATGGTAGTGTGATAGTAGCTTCTCTGATAAGCCGACTTGGCGGTTTGGTGTCCAGAGAAGTACCAGAGACCCCGGCGAGAAGTGCACGCTTTGGTGGCGACTGTCATAGCGGTCTTTTTGCTGCGCTTGCGACAAGTGCAGCCGATCACGGGCAAGCTGACGGGCTGCATGGGCTCGAGAAATGACATCGCTGGCGTACTCAGTAGACAAGGGGGCAGCCGAAGGAAGGAGCGTGTCAAATGGTAATGCTGGATGTCGGCCAAATAGCAAATAAAACGGCGAATAACTAGCTGTGTCGTGCCGTGAAGAATTGTACGCGAACGTGACAAAGGGGAGTGCTTTGTCCCAGTCACGGTGATCTGGCGAAACGTTCATTGACAGCATCTGCGTCAGCGTTCGGTTCAGACGCTCGGTCAATCCATTTGTCTGTGGATGATAAGCGGTGGTAAGCTTGTGCTCAGTGGAGCAGGCGCGGAGAATATCATCCACAACACGTGAAAGAAAGTACCTTCCTCGATCAGTAAGCAGCTGCCGCGGAGCGCCGTGATGAAGAATGACTTCATACAAGAGAAAGTCAGCGATGTCAGTGGAACAGCTTGTCGGCAGTGCTTTAGTGATGGCAAAGCGTGTGGCGTAGTCTGTGGCGACTGCAACCCATTTATTTCCGGAGGTGGACGTAGGAAACGGGCCCAACAGGTCAAGGCCAACACGGAAGAATGGTTCCGTTGGTATGTCAATGAGCTGTAGGAGGCCAGACGGTAGCACAGAGGGGCGCTTGCGGCGTTGGCAGCGGTCGCAAGCAGTGACGTAACGAACCACAGAACGATACAGTCCGGGCCAGAAAAAGCGACGTCGCACACGATCGTAGGTACGAGAGACGCCTAGGTGATCGGCTGTAGGTACGTCATGTAGTTGTTCGAGAACGCTGGTACGCAGGTGATGGGGAAGCACGAGTAGTAATTCCGGGCCATCAGCGTTGAAGCTGCGACAGTACAGAATGTTGTCGTGCAGTTCGAACAGGCGAACGGAAGGGTCTGTCGGAGCAGAGGTCAGACGCTCGATAATGGAGAGTAACGACGGGTCACGTCGTTGTTCGGTGGAGATATCACCCAAAGCGTGGATGGAGAGAACGCAGGGGTCTGAATGAAGGTCTGTCAAGTCGGGCGTTTCAACCGGATAACGTGACAAACAGTCTGCGTCTGTGTGGAGGCGTCCCGACTTGTAGTGGACCACGAATGAGTATTCTTGCAGACGGAGCGCCCAGCGACCAAGACGTCCAGATGGGTCCTTTAGCGATGACAGCCAGCAAAGAGCGTGATGGTCCGTAACAACGGAAAAAGTTCGGCCATACAGGTAAGGCCTGAATTTCGCCACGGCCCACACTAAAGCTAGGCATTCACGCTCAGTGATGGAGAACTTCCGTTTCGGCAGGTGAAAGAAGACGACTGGCGTAAGCAATCACGCGGTCCTTCCCGTGCTGTCGTTGGCCAAGGACCGCTCCAATTCCATGGCCACTGGCATCGGTCCGAAGCTCTGTAGGTGATGCTGGGTCGAAATGGGCCAGTACTGGTGGCGTAGTCAGCAGATGGATAAGAGCCGAAAAGGCGTCCGCTTGCTCTATACCCCATGCGAAGGGAATGTCCTTCTTTAAGAGATCAGTAAGCGGTCGAGCGATGTCGGCGAAGTTGCGGACAAATCGACGAAAATAGGAACATAGTCCTACAAAACTTCGGACGTCCTTGGTTGAGCGTGGTTCAGTAAATTGTTGTACTGCCTCGCACCTTTTCGGGATCTGGTTGAACACCATCGGCACTGACAAGGTGGCCGAGTATGGTGATTTGGCGACGTCCGAAATGGCATTTTGCAGAATTGAGCTGGAGAGCAGCTCTTCGAAAAACATCCAGAACAGCTGACAGACGTGTTATATGGCTGTCAAAGGTGGGCGAAAAGACGATGACATCGTCTAAATAACATAAGCAGATGGACCACTTATATCCTCGGAGAAGGGAGTCCATCATGCGCTCGAAAGTTGCCGGCGCATTACACAGTCCAAACGGCATGACTTTGAACTGGTAGAGGCCGTCGGGCGTAACGAAAGCGGTTTTTTTTCACGATCCATGGGGTCGACTGGAAATTTGCCAATAGCCGGATCGAAGGTCGATAGACGAAAAGTATTGGCACCATGGAGGCAATCGAGGGCGTCATCAATCCGAGGCAAAGGGTAGACATCTTTGTGGGCACTTTGTTTAAATGGCGATAGTCCACGCAAAAGCGCCAGCTGCCATCTTTCTTCTGAACGAGCACGACTGGGGAGGCCCAGGGGCTGGATGAGGGTTCTATTACGTCTTTAGTAATCATTTATCCACTTCATTTGAATTACTTGGCGTTCCTTGTGAGATAAGCGATATGGACGCCGCCGTATAGGACTGGCATTACCAGTGTTGATCCGGTGAGTCACTGCAGTTGTTTGGCTGAGAGGGCGGTGGTCAAAGTCGAAAACGTCTCTATATGATGTTAGCAGACTACGGAGGCTGGCAGCTTGCACTGCAGTGAGGTCGGGAGCAATCATCTTGTTAATGTCATCTGCAGGCAGAGTGTAATTGCGGCCAAGACAGGGGGATGTAGTATCGGTGTCCAAACCAGTAACGTTGCAGCTGTCAAGTGGAGATAGGGTGGCCAAAGACATGTCTTGCGGAATAACTTGAGTCAAGAGACTCACGTTGAGTAGTGGTATAACCACTGTATTATTAGCGACAGCGACAACAGTGTGAGCAAGGGCGACGTCTCGGGCCATCAGTACGTCTACTATAGGAGTGACGAGGTAGTCACCGTCGGGCACATGACGTGAGCACGACAAAGTGACATATGTAGCAGCTTGCGGAGGCAAGCGAACGTGGTGACGAGAGCGTAAACGGGGAGAATAGTCTGCTGAAAATCGGCAAACTGCGGCAGTTCAAGCTGAAGAGCACCAGTGGCACAATCAATGAGCGCAGAATGACGTGACAGGAAGTCCAAACCAAGTGTTAGGTCATGAGGACACATTTCAATGACGGCAAACTGAACTAATGTAGGATGACCAGCAATGGACACACGGGCCGTGCACATCCCTTGAACATCAGGGGTCCTCCCATCAGCGACACGAAGTTTGTGGGAAACGGCAGGCGTGAGCACTTTATGTAGGCGTCGGCGAAGGTTCGCACTCATTACAGAAATGTGCGCTCCAGTATCTATAAGGGCAGAAATAGGCACACCGTCAACGGCAACGTCTAACAAATTTTGTCTCGTCGGAAGCGTCAAGAGAGGATTTGTGGAGGGAGTCGAAGATGCAGCGTCACCTCCGGGTGCTGCACCGTTTAGTTTTCCGGGTAGGCAGGAGCGGGGTTGAATGGAGATGACGGCCTGCGAATCTGCGGTGAGCGAGACGACTGGCGACGTCCTGGAGGCGAACGCGACTGATGACCATGCGGTGACGGAGATCGGCTGTTGAACCTTCGGTAGTTGTTTTGCGGAGAAGGCTGCACGGCAGACGCGAAGCGGGTGCTGTCCTGTCGGTAGTGAGGTTGAGATGAAGTCCGAGGTGGCGAGGACCAGCGGTAATTGCAGTAACGGACGACATGACCGATACGGTGGCAATGAAAACAAATTGGTTGATTGTCGACGGTTCTCCACGCCGCAGGGGTCGCGAGATCGGGCCGTGAACTGCTGCTCGCGATAGGACGAGGGTGGACGCCATGAAGCTCGCTGCGGGCTGGGCAAAGCGCACACCGAGGGAATACCTATGCTGGCGAGTTCTTGGCGGACGATGGCTTGAACCATGTTAGCAGTGAGTGGGGTGGTGTCACTTGCAGCGGTGTGAGCCGGAGCAGAGGCAATGGCTTCAAGTTCGCGCCGTACAATTCGGGTCACCTGATCCGATGAATCTAGAGGTGGTGGCTGTGTTCTTGCACGGTCTTCGCAAGATGATGTTGCAGCCGTATTCGGAAGGCGGGTGAACACGCTGTTAATCCGCCGGCTCTTCGCCTGCTCAAAGCGCCGACATTCTTTTATAATGGCGTCCACTGTAGAAAAACTTTTGCAGATGAGGAGGTTGAATGCGTCATCCGCAATCCCCTTAAGAATATGCCCGACCTTGTCAGCCTCCGGCATATCGGCATTGGCTTTGCGACACAACGACAACACATCTTCTATATAGGAGACGTAAGACTCGGTCGAGGTCTGCGCCCGAGACGCGAGCATTTTGTTCGCGGCCATTTTTCTTCCAATCGGCTTTCCGAACAGGTCTAGCATTTCCTCCCTGCACACTGCCCAACTCACAAGTTCGGTTCATGGTTCTCATACCACGATTTGGCGGTTCCCCTAAGATAGAATAACAGGTTTGCCAGCATAAGAGTCGGGCCCCATCGGTATCGAGTACTCACACGTTCGTACTCTGCCAGCCAATCTTCAACGTCAACTTCATCTGGATCGCCGGAACCGCTGAACGTGCCAGAATCCCGCGGGGGTTCGAGCACAAAGGTTGTGGTCGCAGAAGGAGATGTAGTTACCGCATCATCTCCGGCCGCAGGAACACCAGGAGCAGATGCAGACGCCGTACTCTCCGTCATCGTTGTGGAATGACCCTTCAACGTCGGCCGCTGCGAAGTTCCGTTGCGAGGGTGGGTGCCCAGCACTTCCACCAAATGTGACGGAGCGAGGTCTTGGCTTACAGGACAGCGTCCACCGAGAGTCGGCAGCCGAACAAGATGTCTGAGTTGCCTCTCGTGCAAGCGCCTAACGCACAGGCGTCTTCTTCATCTTCGCTAAGTGCCACGCTTGCTCCTGTCGATGATGCACCGTAACAATAGGATCAAGTTAGTGCAATTGTCGCAGCTGCTGCACCACTGCTAAGACCACCTTCCTTGGAACAGGGCAGGTTTCATTGAAGCAAATTAAGTCAACAAGAACTGACTCACCGGTCAAACTGCAGCTCCTCTTTACACATCAATCTGCAAACATAATCAGAGAAATCTATTATTAGGGCAAGCTATTGTTAGGGTTGTGCAATTTTTATCTTCCAGCATTGTGCACTTAATTGTGCATGCCAAGATAGTCCTTCAAACGAAATGCATGAATGAGAAAAATGATGACTGAATCTTGCCATGCACATTATGAAGCACTTACCAATTGACCTGTGATGCAAGTATGAATAATATGTGCGAAGTTTTCAGTAAAATGAGTTGAAAGGCTGGGCATTAGCTGTCCGGGCCAGCAAGTCGTTATGTTGGAGACTCGCTCTTTTCGGTATTTTCGATTTCTTAGAATGGGCATAAAAACGAAGTGGCTGGTTAGGTACCTCTCGTGAACCACTTACACGGAACTAATAACTGAAAATTTTGATAAACCCATGCCGTTGCACCAATTGCAAGGACTCCATAACCAGAACAAAAGGTCACTCGAGTAAATTTCTCGTTTTCTTCCTGTGCACTCTTGTAACTCTAGGGGTGTAAGAAATTTCATGAGCTGTGAAACCAGAGTGCTTGAGGACCTATGAGTATTGTCACGTGGTCATGATGGCAAAGAATATGGCAGTTGGGCCATGAAAAACATTTTTGGCTAACCTGTGCCAGTAAAACAGAAACTAAAACTACAAGCTGTTCATTGATAGCGGTAAACAACGTGTCGGTCGTCGGCAATCTTATCTGCAATAAGGGCCACGTTATTTATATGAGGGCATCAGCCATGCAGGCCTTGTCACCAGTGATTAAGTTGCAGAATGAACTCAATTGTTGGTGTTGCGTGCTCAGTCTTGTCAACATTGGATTCATTCTCGTCAACATTGGATATCAATGAAGCTATTTTTGCATCAAATGCATTTTTATCGCATGGCATTAGACTCTATTGCAAAAAAAGGGCGTACTTCAACGAGGTTCCACTGGTGTTGAGGAAATGCTGCACGGAGCTCATCGACGCCAAGCTTCGCACTGAGACGGTCGGGCGCGTCGAAGGACTTGAAACCACTTCTTGCTGTTGCTCGGACTGTCAATAATGTGCACCTCGTGCTCGAAGGCCACGTTCAGCAGGTCTATAGGGCAGGACCCCGGAAGAACCCTGCAACGCAGTGGCAAAACACGTCAGGCTCAAAGGCGTGATTTGTGTCTGCGGCTTGATAGAGGAAGAATTTGTTGAATCGCCCTTATACTAGTAACTAATGTTATAAGTAATTGCAGAAAGTTGATTGCCGAAAAGGTAATATGATCATGGGGAACATAGTATAATGGAGGGTTGCGAAAATTTTCAAACACCCGAGGTCCTTTAACATGCACCTAAACCGAAATGTCGCACATGTGCCTCTAGCATTTTCGCCCCAACAAAAATGCGACTTCACATCCAGGATCGAACTCACAATCTTTAAGTCATCAAAAAAGCCCGTAACCACCGTACTACTGTGGCATCAGTAATTATTTGGAATTGCAAAGCACAACTATCCATCAATTACACACTAGTAAACTGGCTAGTATTTTGTTAACTAATGGCTGATAGATTGGCACCATTTCACACTATCCCGTTATAAAAAGGGGTACTTGCATTACTATGGATGCTTTAATACCTGCACTTTGAGAAAATATAAGATTTATGCATAGCTGAGTCAAACAGTTGCAAAAATAATAATAATAATAAAAGCAGATGCTCACTATTTCTTGTCTCAGCTTCAATTTTCGCTCAATTCCCACGAACACATTCAGTGCCAACATGAAAACAGCAGCCCTGACTCTACAGTACAGTAAATCATGGCTAATACAAACTTCGGGGTGACACAAATTTTTCTGTGGGCCCAGCCAAGGCTCGTTAGCCTACAGTGACCTGGAGTATGATTACTGTGAACTATTTCACACTCACAACAGTTGAGTTCGAGGTTCGAGGGGTGAGCGAGGCTGCAAAATCAGCATCGGAAGAAGTTTGTTCCCTGCATTGAAGGGTGGTGTACTCTCTACCCCTGTCCTGCGGCAAGTGGTACATCGGCCAAACAGGCAGGTTTTTACAATGCGCGGCTGAAAGAGCACGCTCACAACGTCTCCTCTATAGTTTTGGGCCATCTCGGCATCATTGCCGAGACTGCGGTAGTGTCCCTGATTTCAGCTTTGTACCGTCATTAGGCGTCATCGGGACCAGATGAATACGTGACAATTTATGAGGCTTCAGAAATAGAAGGGCTGGGCAGTGCATGTGTCGCAGGCCTTCGATGCGCTATCACTAAAAGAAATAGATTTCCTTCGGAACGTTAGCACACTGTTGTTCAGAGGTGCGTTGTGGAGATGACTACGTGGTTGTTAGGTGGATTCTGTTTGTTTGTTTTGTATTTTTTCTCTTTTTTTTTGTCAGATACTGCCCAAGTATATATTGTGGCGGTTCTAGCAAATAAATCTTGTTGTAAGTCAGTGCGCTGTCTGTCTCCTTCTTCTCTTGTCCCTCGTTATTGGTGCTGTTTTTTAAGTAAAGTTTGTTCTGTTTTCAATTTTACTTGGCACTTGCAAACTGTGAGGGCATCATATACGGGGCATGTTAGAAAAGTAAGAGAGAGAGATAAAGATGCAAGGAAAGGCAGGGAGGTTAACCAGACGCACATCCGGTTGCTACCCTGCACTGGGGAAGGGATAAAGGGGAGAAAAGAGGTTGCAGAGAGATGAGAAGGTACACACAATCATGAGCACACTCGGGGAGCACACACAGTCTACAGGCGGTCGCTCAGGTTTGTTGAGGCAGTCAATGCTGCGGGTGGTCTGGCGACGTGGTGCCTAACAGCCTGTGCTGGACTAGTTCGTTTATCCCTTACACTTCTTCTTAGTCCGAGTTACAACTCTGTACAGCTAACACAGTAGTCTTGACAGCACCGTGAGCGAAGTTGGGTTTTTGTTGTGCGTTACAGAAATCGGTCATCGTAGTTTAGAGTAGTGTTGTGCAATAAATTTCTTTGTTAAACTTGTTGAATTCGGGAGTATTACGTTTAGAAGCTGTAACAAGCATATCAAGAACATTGCTTATTAAGAGCACAATTTTCAGCTAAAACAAGTCATTTTTGGAAGGACTAGAAAACATTAAAATGAACGTCACTCAGGCAGACATTGCAGACGAGTAGATGTTTCAACATGACAATGCACCGTGTCACACTGCCCTTTCATCGGTGAATTTTACGCCAAAACGCATCATTATTGTTTCTCAAGCTTATATCACCGATTTCAGTTCTTGTGACTTTTTCCTTTTCCTGAATTGAAACGTGTGCTAAAAGAAAGTCATTTTGAAACTCTGAAGAACATTCATAAGAATGCAACCGACCAGTTAAAATTTATATTAGCTGAAGCCTTCTAGCACTGCTATCAAAGAGGGAGCAACAACTCTAACAGTGTATAGATGCCCAAAAGAAGTACCTTGAAGGGATTATATTGTTGCCAGAAAACACCGCAAATATTTGGTTAGTACAACTCAGTCTCAATACTTTCCCAACGCACCTCGTATGATGGTGTCAATAAAAACTGGAGTCATAACTGTGACAAGTAGTAGCTTAATTTCTGACACATGCTTTAGAACTACGTAGTTGCAGCGGTTGGCGGTCCAGCCAGTTAATGATTTAGAGCAGAAAGAAAGCCATCTTAAAGCAGACTTGGAGCACAAGGAACTGTGTTTTGGAGCAGCTATGGAGCCACAAAAATGTTTTGGAACAGGCAAATCAGGGTTTGAGATCACTTGGGGTGTCAAAAAAGTATGTCTGCAGCTGTAAGCATATGTGTTATATATATATATATAATATATATATATATATATATATATATATATTTATATACATACATACATACTTATAGTTGTATACACTTACTACTTTAAAAAAATTATTGACATTTCTTCTGACTACCTTACAATTCTAGGCTGTGTAATGTTATCTACACTTGTTCATATCATGTATTCTTGATAGTGCCACAGCTACTCATCTTTTTTTTTTGCTTTGATTGCTTCTTTGCTCATTTATTCACTTAGTCTATATTACCATGCTTTTTTTTCTCTGTTTTTTAAATATTCTAAACAATGTTTCTATTATACGCCGAACCCTTTTATAAAAGACAAGGGACACTGATATAAAGACAAATGAATATAGAGGACACCAGTGTGCCTACACCAAATACGGGTTGATAAAAAAAAATGCATACGAGGTACCCTGCTTATAAGAGACATCTCATATAAAAGACAATATTTGCTGCCTGGAGCACATCTACTATAAAGGGGTTTAACTGTACTTATATTCGTCAAAATTTGATGACTTTTAGTCTGTATTACATTTGTTTGTATAACTTATTCCACATTGTTGACAGAGTTTCATTTTACTTGTACATACGTATTAAACACATTTTCTGACAGTAGTCCTCCTTCAGCCAAGTGCCCTGAGACCTCTTCTGTATACTTATGAAAGCAACTATGTTTTATATGAAACTAAATAAACTGAAACTGATGTAAATAAGGACACATGACCCAAAAGCAGCTATAATCAGGCTAGTTACTCGAAATCATGCCCCATGCCACATGCATTGAAGTTGAGCGTCGGTGACGCGTGCATGGACACACGGCATCACTGAGGAATCAGTGCCCAAATGTGACTTTTTTTCCGTTTTTAAAGGAAAAGTGATAGTTGTAACAGACCCTTCTCTCCCCATCCAACCGCCATCACCCCTTTGATCTGCCACTGTCCGGGGATTTCAAAGTGGGTTCTCCCAAAAAGAATTACTGTGCTGCGAGTGCTCAGAACTAACCCATCTACACGCCATTAATTTCTCACTGATATACACAGTTTATAATTATAGAAAAATAATTTTGCTTTGCAGTTTATATTTAACCATACCACTGCACTGCCTGCCCACACTTTCATTGTCCCTGAGCAACCAGATCCCGAACTGGTAGCGGCGCTCCGGACACGCCATTTGCCAGCATGCAGTAGCTGCGCTGAGCACCATCGCAAGCATTAACCTGATTTCAGGCAAATGCCTATTTTGTTCCTTGCAATCATACTGCCCACTTTGATATATAAGCGTGAATTAGAGCTTAAAAAGAGCTGTTACGTTGTTTTTATATACATATTTTCGTGAGTATAACCCGCACCAAAAACCAGAAATTTCAGTGGCAAAGTGGAGGTGCAAATAATACGCGGGGTTTTTTCTATAGTACTGCTTCACAGCAATGCGTGTTGTGCTGTGAAGCCCCTTAACAGTGTAGCGAAAGCTATGTAGGCGGTTTCCGCAAATTCGTGTTGCTCCGCAAGTAGCACGGCAGCTTGCGGTCGATTTTGGTTTCGCTTGCTTGCATCGTTGAAGCATTTAAAAAAACATTTGGGAAGAGACAATTCGATCCTTCTGTGTAAAATCTCACTGTCCACACCACAAGTATATTTTTTGGACGTTTGCGGCCGCGCAGTGAGCCTCCTTATGTCCCTACGTCACGGACGCCATGTTTACTTTTGGAAAGGACTTGCCGAAAAGGTGGTGCCGTCTAAGAAATAGAAAGAAAAGGAAGGCATTTTTGCAAAGTGAACGATACCTGTATCTTACCTACGACTTTCTGCAACCGTTTGAGTTCCATTATAAATAAAGCAGTATTTATTCAGCAAGGCAAATGAGATATTAGAGTGCCTATAGAGATATTATCAGTAAATTTATATACTACTTTTTGACGCGGTAGCAGGCATGCATTTCGGTTCTGTTGTTTCCAGGGTGCTGCTACAGTGTACTAGAAGGGGTAGTGCTAAGTCGTGGAAGCCTAAGTCAATCTGTTCTGTCACCATGAGTAGCATACGGCGGCAGTCCTTCATGGCACAGCAAAAGTTTAAGATCATCACCGTCGCCGAGGAATTCGGAAATCGCGAAGCGGGAAGACGGCACGATGTGAACGAGTCCTGCGTGCGACTGTGGAGAAAGAAGAAAGAGAGCCTACTAGCCGCGCACCGCGACCGTAGGTCATTTCGTGGCCCCAAGACCGGTGCCTACCCTGAGCTGGAGGGGAGCTAGTAAAGTTCATCGAAGATGTGAGAAGCAGGGGTCACGCCGTATCGACCGAGATGGCCCAAGTGGCAG